TACTTAACTAGTCTAATCATGAATGTTCATAGCTTTATCTTAATTGATGTAGATCGGCGGCTTTCGTTCCCCATTATTGGTCTATTCCCACAATGCATCAAGCGGTATCGGAAGAATGCCACACTGTTAATTCTCTTCAATCGAGCCAATGTGAAATAGCACTTTCACTACTGATTTCAAGGCTTTGCAATCAAACACCATAGAAGTATCCGTTATTAACCAATATTTGTGATTGATGTAAAGCTGGTGCATCATACTATGCTCCTTAGAGTTAGACACCTACCATCGATGGCATAAATGCTCTGCAGGAATTTGACGATCCGGAAACTAATCACAGAAGTGGAGTGCATCACTTGGCACGAGTATATTTTAGTACGTGGTAAGCTCACCTCAGTCTAACTACTATATGAACCTGTTTTGCTTGAGTATAATTAGGTAACTCCACTCTAGACAGGCGGAGAAGACCCTTGCGTTGACGCTTCTTCATCCTTCTTAATCTCTACAGAGCAGGTCTCTTTTGTCCAGATTCTATAGCTTAGCACTCATGCTGGTTACAATTGTCACTCTTTATTTCATCTTCCTATTCCTAGGCCACATTCTCCTGTTCTTCCTTCTGGCCACCCTGTGGTTTGCAAAATCGTTACCACACCGGAAAAACTTATTTTTTATCAACCTAATTCTGACAACATATCTCGCGACAATTCCCCCGATGCTGTTGTAAGTCTTAATATTCGTCATGTTCTTATTCACATTTCCTTTCCCCTCATTTTCATTGTTTTAGGCTTATATCTGGAAATCTAGATCTAAAGAGTAACCATCCCCCTAGAACTATCTGCTTGATTCAAGCAATTCTTATGGACGGGGTGGCTCCAATGTACGTACGGTTTTTTTCTTACATCAAGTTGAACGCTAAGAAGATTGATACTTTGGAAAATGTTAGGTTCGGAGTAGCTACATTAGCGCTTGTTATTAACGTATGGACGAGTCTTGTTGCCAGTGGTCTCATGTCTCTTACTATGAGATTTCACAGACAAAGGTAGAAATTACCAGT